CTGGGCACAGGAAGTTCTGCCAAATGAATGCCTGCGGAGTGGCTCATGTATATGGCTTTTATTTGCCAAACTGGTGCATGCTTAATTATTTGGATAGAATAGGAGTAGAAGTAGATACAAAACGTTATTGGCCAAGAGTGATTAGATACACAAGGAATTTGTTTCCAGTGCAGAAGCTTATACGCAAATATGTCAATAAGGTTTCTTTCGCAAGGCTGTTTCAATGTCTGAGAAGAGGTTGAATTAGACCAGGGACCTTGGTGGCTGGTAGGTAAAAAAGCATAAATCATGATTATGGCAAGACAGCTGTGTTGAAAGAAAAATCATCAGGTCCAGTCCAAGCCGGGAATAAATAAAATGGAGACTGTTTGGAAGGAAGGTTTCGTTTATTGAAGAACAGAACCGATAGCATGTGGTTCTGGGACAGCTGACAAAATGGAGTTGGGATAGGTGGGCTTTTATACCTCCTTTGGGCTTTGTATTTAACTTTCTTCCTGTTCCTGTGCAACGTACTTTGACCTGAGTGTGCCCTTTTGGTATTCTAATGGTGGTGGGATAATCCTATTATGTCCTAAAGGTCATGTCCTGCTTCTCTGTGGCTGAGGCTGAAGGCATTTTGCTTATGAATAGGTGGCCCCAAGTCAAGGTTTGGACAAAACTCAGCAGCTTGTTTTCCGTGCGGCTGCTGATAAAAACAGGATCGCCAGCATGATCGCCAACGTCCGATAACGGATATGGCACAAGAAGAAGAAGTCTGCATTTCTAAAAGCTGGCCTGCTTGGGGGAAGGAGACTGGGGGCTGGTTTCTGCCTAAGATTTTTTCTCCACTATTCCTTTGGGGTAAATATAATATTCTGCTTTCTTTTTTTAATATCCTCCCAAATATTTCCTTCTCTAGAAGGGTGGGTGGGTGCTGACTTCCAACAGCTGTCAGTGTCATTGATATTAACTGGTTGGGAGGTGGTACACTCGGCTGCCCAATGCTGATCTGACACCAGGTAATCCAAGCGAGATGGTCGCTTGGCTACAGAATCCAGCAGGTCACCTTGGGCCAGGTGTGCTCAGGCTGAGTTATCTCGCCGATCAGAAACCAGGGCAGGTGAGCAGCCAAAGAATGGTTTAGCCTGCCCTGTGCTCCTTGGCAGGAGAAGGGGGCAGATGGAAAGAGAAGGGATGAAGGAGCAATGCCTGCACCCATGCACGCTGCTTTTGAGACATGCTGCCGCTGAGCATGTGAACAAACCTCAGTTGCACGGGGATAACTTGAAACTAGATCAGCATTGAAGAGGGTTTAGTGCGGTGTTTCTCAAGCCTGGCCACTTTAAGATGGATGAGTGGACGTCAACTTGCGGGATTCACCAGCCAACAAGGTGGGAGCTGAATTCCATCCATCTTAAAGTGGCCAGCGTTAAGAAACACGGTTTAGTGTGGAAGGAAACTGGGGGATAGGATTCTGTTGGATCAAACCACAGAATGGTTTGGATCCCAGTCCTCTTCTTCTGCTTTGCTCCTTGGGATCAAATTACAACTTAGTTTGTAATCAGTTTCTTATGTCTTTGCTTGCTTGCTTCCTCTTTCCCTGTCTCCTTCCTTCATTTCTTTCTTCCTACTTTCCCTCCTTCTTCTCGCTTCCTCTCCTTCCTTCCTCTTCCCCTTTCCTCCAGCCTTCCCTTCTGTCCTTCCCTCCTTTCCTTCCTCTTGAATCAGTTCATTTATCTCTTTCATGTACATCTACACTGTTTTGCTTTAAGCACTGTCCAGTATCCTTTTGAAAGCCTCCAGTGATGGAGCACTCACAACTTCTGAAGGCAAGCTGTTCCATTGGTTGATTGCTCTCACCGTTAGGAAATTTCTCCTTAGTTCTGGGTTGCTTTTCTCCTTGATTAGTTTCTGTCCAATGTTTCTTTCCTTGCCTTCTGGTGCTTTGAAAAATAGTTTGATCCTCTCATCTATGTAGGAGTCCTTCAAGTATTGGAAGACTGCTATCATGTCACCCCTCATCCTTCTTTCCACTAGACTAGACATACTCAATTCCTGCAACCGTTCTTCCTATGTTTTGGCCTCCAGCCCCCTAATTATCTTCATTGCTCTTCTCTGCATTCTATCCAAGGGCACCTTTGTCCAAGGGCATTTCTATGGTTGCCTGTGATACTTGCTGGAGGGCTGGGTGGGGTCTTAGTCAGGGGTCTTCCCGATAATGTAATTCATGGAAAGTTGGCATCATTTGGAACCGTTAGCAACAAGTGAACATCATCATCATGGCATCCCTAGCTGGAAAGAGAAGAAGAGCCGAGACACTCCCGTCAAAGCTCTCCAATGCTTTGATTTTTCATGGGTACCAATTCTGCAATCTAGTTGCAGGACCAGAATCCCATCATTGCTTGGGTCAATTGTCCCTCTGGGGGTATAGCGAACAGGTCAAAAAATTGTGGGGGCTCCATCACTTGGAGGTCTTCAAGAAGAGATTGAACAACCATTTGTCTGGAATAATATAAGGTCTCCTGCTCGAGCAGCGGGTTGGACTAGAAGATCTCCAAGGTCCCTTTCAGCCTGTTATCCTATGTTATGTTTTATGTTTTGTTTTTTTTAACACTAGCACGCTCAAAAAGGTGCTTGACATACTGAGCATGCCCAAGTGCAAAAAAGCTGGTTTCCCATAAGGCAAATTCATGAGGTTGTTCTTCCTACCACTTCTAAACCTCTAAGTTGATTTCTCCCACTTTAGCTTGTCCTTCCTTAATAATAATAATGATAAAGTTGGAAGGGACCTGGGAGGTCATCTAGTCCAACCGTCTGCTCAGGCAGGAAAGCCTATACCATTTCGGACAAATGGCTGTCCAGTCTCTTCTTAAAAACTTCCAGTGTTGGAGCATTCACTGCTTCTGGAGGCAGGTTGTTCCACTGGTTAATTGTTCTCACCGTCAGGAAGTTTCTCCTCAGTTCTAGGTTGCTTCTCTCCTTGATTAGTTTCCACTCGTTGCTTCTTGTCCTGCCTTCAGGTGCTTTGGAGAATGGCTTGACTCCCTCTTCTTTGGGGCAGCCCCTGAGATATTGGAACACTGCTATCATGTCCCCCCTCGTCCTTCTCTTCGTTAAACTAGACATACCCAATTCCAGCAGCCGTTCCTTATGTTTTAGCCTCCAGTCCCCTAATCATCTTTGTTGCTCTTCTCTGTACTCTTTCTAGAGTCTCAACATCTTTTTTACATCGTGGTGACCAAAACTGGATGCAGTATTCCAAGTGTGGCCTTACCAAGGCATTCCTTCCTTCCTTCCTTCCTTCCTTCCTTCCTTCCTTCCTTCCTTCCTTCCTTCCTTCCTTCCTTCCTTCCTTCCTTCCTTCCTTCCTTCCTTTATTATTTTTATAAACAACTCAAGGCCCGATCTTCTCAAGGCCCTCCCAAACAACGTTCTGAGTTTCTACCCACCTTCCTCCGTTTAATATCCTAGGATGAAAGATTAGGTTGAAGATGGATGTTGTGCTTTGTTTCCAGCCAGCTTTCCCCCCACCATCACCACCACCTCCCTTTCTCAAAAAAAAGAAAAGAATCTTGGAAATATAATTCCACTAAATGAATCATCGCACGTGGAGGTGTCTTGTTTTAGTCACGCAGAACAGGCAGCAAAATTCAAGCTTACCTCGAAGGTGGATTTCTCTGTTCTAGAAGATTCTCCGTCCCATATTGGTAGGGAGGGTCTGTACCCAGACAGAGGCATAAGACAGATGTTTGTTTTCCTCTACGGAGAAAATAGCCAGAATCCTGGCCTTGGAAAGTGATCAGGGGATATCAGCTTCTCTCCTGTAGCTCTCCAGAGATCTAGTAAGTTTCAGCCTGTAACTTGGAAATCATGGCTAAGCCTGCGATGTTAGCCTGCCAGACCTCGAGAACATTTCATTTCTGCTTTCTTTTTCTCCTGATTAACCCCCTCACCCTTTTATGTTGAGCTCTGGAGGAACATGGGGATTGAGGAAATCCTTCAAAGGAAGAGAAAACAGTGCAAAAAAGACCAATAATAATAATAATAATGATGATGATGATGATGATGATGATGATGATGATGATGATGATGATGATGATGATGATGATGGTGGTGGTGGTGGTGGTGGTGGTGGTGGTGGTGGTGGTGATGATGATGATGATGATGATGATGATGATGATGATGATGATGATGATAAAGTTGGAAGGTACCTCGGAGGTTATCTAGTCCAACCCCCTCCTCAGGCAGGAAACCCTATACCATTTTGGATAAATGGCTGTCCAGTCTCTTCTTAAAAACTTCCAGTGTTGGAGCATTCACCGCTTCTGGAGGCAGGTTGTTCCACTGGTTAATTGTTCTAACTGTTAGGAAGTTTCTCTTTAGTTCTAGGTTGCTTCTCTCTTTGGTTAGTTTCCACCCGTTGCTTCTTGTCCTGCCTTCAGGCGCTTTGGAGAATAGCTTGACTCCCTCTTCTTTGGGGCAGCCCCTGAGATACTGGAAGATTGTTATCATGTCCCCCCTTGTCCTTCTCTTCGTTAAACTAGACATCCCCAATTCCAGCAACCGTTCTTCGTATGTTTTAGCCTCCAGTCCCCTGATCATCTTTGTTGCTCTTCTCTGTACTCTTTCTAAAGTCTCAAGCAAAGGTTGGGATGATCTTCTCTGTGCCTCTTTGGTCCAACAGCTGCTCCTCCCTTGGTCTGACATGGAGAGGAGGCCGGTGACCTCACAATGGCCACCATGGCAACCAATGATGAAGTCATGAGCCATCATTGGAGCAGTAGGGAGAGAAAGTTGCTGGAGACTTAGCTGGTTTTAGCTTTTAGCTTGCCAGATGTGCACCAGAGTTGGCCCTTGATTTGTTCTAAAGTCTTGTTCTCTGCCCCAACCTCTGGTTGGGAATTCCTGTTTCCCTACAGGATGATGCTTTCCTTGAGGAATCTCGGGGGGCCACTGGGTTGGTGACGAAGTCCCCATTTTCCATCTGAAGAGAAGGACGCATCCTGAACCTAAGAGCAGCAATGCTGGTGAAGGAATATCGGATCTGTATGCCTCTCACCACCGAAGAGGTAAGGGGCCATGGAAAGGCTGAACTGCTGAAGCTGTGGGGAAGGACGGGTGAGGGGGGGAGTTATTCCATTTAACCAAACTACCTTGGAGCTTTCTCTTCACCTGGCAAGGATCTGTCTCAACCGTTTGTTGGAAGACCCTTTTCGGTTGGAAGAGTTGGGACTCAAAGGTTTGGAGGTAGATTGTCTGTGTTACTGGAGGCTACATAACAGTGTTTTTTCTACCTTAAAGATGTACGGACTTCATTTCCCAGAATTCCCTGGGGAGAACTGTTGGCTGGAGAATTCTGGAAGTTGAAGTCCACGCATCTTCAGGTTCCCAAGGTTGTTGAAGTCCACAGATCTTCAGGCTCCCAAGGTTGAGAAACATGGCTATCTAAGAAGGAAGGAAAGGGGACAGAATGGGTTGCCTTCCCACCTTCTAAGTCGGGGACAAAAACGTTCAGGGCTTCGTGAGGCCACCTAAATCTCTGCTTCTCTCAATATCCTCTCTGACCGTTGGCATTGAGAGGAGCGTTTCTCAACCTCAACCACTTTAAAAAGGGGTGGCCTTCAGCTCCAGAATTTCCCAGTCAACATGCTTGCTGGAGAATTCCGGGAGTTGAAATCCACGCCTCTTAAAGTCGGCTGGGGAACTCTGGGAGTCGGTCCACGCCTCTTGAATTTGGCTGGAGAATTCTGGGAGTTGAAGTCCACATCTCTTGAAGATGCTTGGAAAATTCTGGGAGTCGGTCCACGCCTCTTGAAGTTGGCTGGAGAATTCTGGGAGTTGAAGTCTGCACCCCTTAGAGAGTATCGAGGTTGAGAAACCCAGGAAGGAAGGCCAACAACAAACCCTAACCTAAGAATATATAGTGATATAGTTAAGAGTCCCACCCATCCCTGGCCCTGAAACAAGAGAAGGGAGATGTTCAGGATTGACTGGTGTTGATGTTGTCCCCTTCTCTTCTTTGCTCATTCCTCCCCAGATGTTAAGCACAGTCCAATGCGAAAGAGGCATAGCAGAAACAGCCTAGTGGTCAGAGTAAGCTGCATGATGAGGTGGAGATGGATGGGATGAAGGAAAAACTGCAGCATGATGGAAGATTGATAATCTAGATAGCGAGATGGGCAGCATATAAATTTAATAAACAAATGAAAAGATTATCTAGTGGCAAAGGATAATATAACAGATAGCTATGCCGGTAAATGTATTGAGGGTTTGTTGTTTTTGTTCCCATTTGTCTATCAATCTAGGAGAGGGGACACATACACACACATATACACCACTGCGCTAAAATAGAAGCTCTCTGCTAATTTGATAAATCCCTTCTTAAAAATTCAGCGCTCTTAGCAAAAGAGTCTGGATAACCTGTTACAAGAGTCTCTTCTCACTCCTCAACATTTTGATCTAGTCATGCACCCTCTTATATTTGGAATTATCTTGGAAATGGGCTCATGTTTAAAGCTAAACAAAAGGGATCAATGAAAAGTAGGCTAGAAAGTGCATTGACACCCTTGATGTTGGGAGAGACGCCTGAGAAGAGCATGGACAGCCAAGAAGACAAATTGATCCATCATCGCACAAAAGCAATCCAGAGTTCTCACTCCAGGCATAAACAACCAGGCTCTAATGATGCTACTTTGGGCACATGAAATGAAGACCTGGGAAATGTTCTTCTGCCGAGAAGGGTGGAAGGAAAGAGAAGAAAAGGAGGACCAGGAGCAAGATGGATGGATTCAGTGACTGTGGTGATGGGGGCATCAATGGAAGATGTGAAGGACCAGGTTGGGAATAGATCCTCCTGGAGAAAATCTATGTGGACTGCAGAGTTGACACCAACTTGTTGGCACATAATCCATCAGAATCAATCACAATCAGAATCGGAATAGAGAACAATTAACCAGTGGAACGGCTTGCCTCCAGAAGTTGTGGGTGCTCCATCACTGGAGGGTTTGGAGATAAGATTGGATAGCCATTTGTCCGGAACGGTATAGGGTCTCCTGCTTAAACAAGGGGGTGGACTAGAAGACCTCCAAGATCCCTTCCAACTCTGTTATTCTGTCATTTTTTTCCCCCAAGGTTGAGATGTGGCCTTTTGCCAAAGTGGATGCAAATGTGAAGTTAGCTGCGCGGCTTTATTAGGAAACAAGCTTTAATAACAGCCAAGGGCTCTGTTCTCCTGTGGCTCCCCACGAGATGAATGTATCGCAAAAGTGGTGGACAGCTTGTACTGAACCACGTGGAGCCTTTTCTGGAAAGCAGTGGCCCGTGGGCACATTGTGTTCGGATATAATTAGCACCAGGTTCATATTATTTGCATGTGTGTGGCAGACTCGGTGCTTGCCAGCCTGCCTAGATATCTGTGATTTTTCAGGCCCTGCAGGGCATCGAAAATATTTTTTTTAACCTGTTAACGAAGGGGCTCCTTAGCATCGGAGCTGAGTCACTGCTTTGTGCTCTAGAACATCTTGTCTCCCGTTTGGGGGTTTCTCCTATTAGGAAGGACAAATGGACAGAAAGATTGTGCCGGGCCATTTCAGGGTGAGCTTGGCCTGACTGATGCATACGTAATGAAGGCAAATGAAGGGGCTGCCCCAAAGAAGAGGGAGTCAAGCTGTTCTCCAAAGCGCCCAAAGGCAGGACAAGAAGCAACAGATGGAAACTAATCAAGGAGAGAAGCAACTTGGAACTAAGGAGAAACGTCCTGACAGTTAGAACAATTAACTTGCCTCCAGAAGCTGTGGATGCTCCAACACTGGAAGTTTTTAAGAAGAGACTGGACAGCCATTTGTCCGAAATGGTGTAGGGTTTCCTGCCTGAGCAGGGGGTTGGACTAGATGACCTCCAAGGTCCCTTCCAACTTTATTATTATTATTGAGGATCATCGCACAGTCAGCCAGATGTTCAGACTGGATTTGGCATTTTGTCTATCTATCGAGTCCTTACCCAGGACCTGGGATAGGCAGATGTGGATATTTCATGGTATTACAGATAACGTCGTAGGATGGAAGCAGTTCCTAGTAAGGCCACCTTTTGCAATTGACTAATGGCAAATTTGTCAATGCCAGTGGTGTTCAAGTGGTGCTCCAGTTGTTTTGGGATTGCACCCAAGGCGCCTATTACTATTGGTACTACCCTTGCTTGCCTTTGCCACAGTCTTTCTATTTCTATTTGTAAGTCTTTGTATTTTGTTATCTTCTCCAGTTCTTTCTCGTCTATTCTGCTGTCTCCAGGCACTGCCACATCCACTATCCAGACTTTGTTGTTGTTGTTGTTGTTGTTGTTGTTATTATTATTATTATTATTATTACTACCATGCCACGCATATTTTCCAATGAGACAAACCAAGGAAGGTCATTTTATTCCAATTTATCAGACTTTTCAGGCAAAAGAAATTCCTCTCTTTCAAAGGGGGAGCCCTGATCCATAGCTCACATCCCCTTTTATAGTTAACATAACAAAGAAAAAAAAATAAAAGAGGAAATTTGGTTGGACGAGATATAAGTAAACCCCTCCTTTACACAGTAAATCAACCACAAAGGCTGTTTGATATTATTTTTAAAAAAACCCTAAGAGCGGGAATATTTGATAGGAATACCTATAAAATAAAATTAAAGCCTTTCCAAAATTCGGGCCCTTGGCCCACTGGCATTTTATTTAGAATTTATATAGTGTCTGGTCACATGGTACCTCGACTTACAACTGCAGTTGAGGACTAACTGCAGAAGTAGAACAAAAATCCTGGAGCTCTGCAGTTGTCATGTTTCACCCACTAAGCCACACAGTGGCAGAAGCTCTGTTCCTTCTCCCCGACAGCCCTTTACGACCATGAGGACTAGAAACTTGAGCTTAAGATTCCTTCTCTTTTTCTCCACTTGGGAATCCTGATCTGTGCCCCTCCCGAGGTCACAGAAGCAAAAGGCTCCACAGCAGCACTGGCTGATGCTGCTTCATAAGGTGTGATTTTTTTTTCCCATTCCTGACACACTCTTCTTTGTCTTCAGCTTCCTGACTCAATGTTTAACTTAGATTGGGCTGGGAGGACTCCCCAGAGTAACAGTCCTGGTGTTACTAGCAGGAAAAAAAAAGGGAGGGTGACACATTCACACTTCAGAGAAAGATTGCAATCTTTCTGTACGGGAGGCTAGAAGTTCAGGTTCCTTCCTCCCGTTCTTGCAGGATTTGATTGCTTTATATTATCTTTCGGAAGTTCAGAGTGATTTAAAGCTAGAATCGAGACCACGTGATGTATTAGTACCACTTTGTAAGGCCTTGGTAAGGCCACACTTGGAATACTGCGTCCAGTTTTTTGGTCGCCACAATGCAAAAAAGAGGTTGAGACTCTGGAAAGAGTGCAGAGAAGAGCAACAAAGAGGATTAGGGGACTGGAAGCTAAAGCATACGAAAAACGGTTGCACGAATTGGGTATATCTAGTTTAATGAAGAGGAGAACTGGGGTGACGTAATAACAGTGTTTCCAATATTTGAGGGGCTGCCACAAAGAAGAGTGGGGTCAACCTATTCTCCAAAGTACCTGTAAGCAGGGCAAGAAGCAATGGATGGAAATTAACCAAGGAGAGAAGCAACCTATAACTAAGGAGAAACTTCCTGACAGTCGGAACAATTAACCAGTGGAACGACTTGCCTCCAGAAGTTGTGAGTACCCAATCATTGGAGGTTGTTAAGAAGAGATTGGACAGCCATTTGACAACCTCATAGTATAGGGTCTCCTGCTTGAGCAGGGGAATGGACTAGAAGACCCACAACTTCTGAAGGCAAGCCATTCCATTGCTTTATTGTTCTCACTGTCAGGAAATTTCTCCTTATTTCTAGGTTGCTTCTCTCCTTGATTAGTTTCCATCCATTGCTTCTTATCCTGTCCTCAGGTGCTTTGGAGAATAGCTTGACTCCCTCTTCTTTGGGGCAGCCCCTCAAATACCGGAACACTGCTATCATGTCACCCCTAGTCCTTCTCTTCATTAAACTAGACATACCCAATTCCAGCAACCGTTCTTCA